CATTGTTGAAGATCGAATAACTGCTGCATTGAATCGTTTCAACCAATGGCAAAGTTAAAGGCACTAGGATGGCAGCTTAGGCTGAGTGTCCATCTGTTCAAGTCTGCAAGGTAGCTGGTGCAATATTTGACATTCTGTCAAGATGTGGTGCTGTTGTTTGCTGATTGCACATTTCATTAGACACCTTATTGCAGGTGGGTACCGTTTCAGCCACCTTCATTCATGCACAGGCTTTGGTTGGCACTGAGATTGCAGGTTCTCTGTTTTTGCGCCATATGTCTGTGGTAGGATAATCAGGTTGTCATGGGACTTGAGATGCAGACCAGAAGCACCCGCAACTTTAGTTCGATTTCTGAAGCGCCTTTTGTCAGCTTCCATGGTTGCTTCGCCTGTGCTGACGGTACCAACTTGTATGAAGGCCGCTTCAAAAATGAAATGCCCAGTCTGCACCTGAGATCGGGTTATTTGGTTGTATATCGGGTACTTATTTTTCTAGTAAGTCCTGGGACCCGTTGAACCAAGAGACGTGGGCGCTTTCTCAGGAGATCCTTCACTGCCTTCGACCTTGACCGATCGGGGGAGGCCAACTCCGTGGGCTTGGAGAGTACGGAGTTACTCGGTTCATCGTCCCTCGAGTCGAAAGTTGGCACATCGCAGTCGAGTGGTAGACCTCCGTGAGGGCAAAACATGAGCTCAGCTTTCAGCTTCAGATTTATTCATTGATAATATGAACAATGTCCACCTCTGATTAACAAAGGCCCCCTCGTGTTGACCCTAAATAGAAGTTGACAAATTTGTCCAGTTGAGCACTAGTGACATTTTGAGGAGTTGGGGTCCAGGAGGCTACTTTGATTTGTTTGTGTTGTGGTCAGGTTCCTACTTTTGAATTTGAATCGTGGACAAAGTCCAGAAAGTTCGGCATTAGTACTGAAAAAGGGCAATACTACTTGTGTGTGTGTGTTTTTTTTGGTAGGGTTCGGTAGCAATACTACTTAAAGGGACAATATATTTTTGAGTTGGTTTGTTTATGAGGGTCCAGTGTCAGAAATTACCCTTTATTTGAGGTGTGTTTGTCTATTGCCAAGTTTGACTCTACGGTGGGACTCGTTTGAAAAGGTTTCACATGAGGACATCGGGAACACACCCATTAGCTTTATGTTGGTGAAGGTTTGCCACATTATGAGTCTCTTTTTGGGGGAGGGCCTTCCTTGGCTGTTCTTTGTTGGATGTTTTTTTGAGAGTCCAAACAAAGAAGAAGCATCATGAAAACGGGCCCGAAATAAGAACTCTGTTCAACAGGCTTTATTTACAGGTTTTAAGCTCCGGGATGAAAATCGTGGTGACTTGCACATCCCCAGAACCCATGGGAAGGGCTCAAAATGGATTCTGGAGGCGTGCTATGGAGTTGTTGGTAAGCGGCACAGGTGGATCAGGACGAGTTCAAAAATGTCATGCGCGAGGCGTGGTGTGAGTTGGTTCGGCTTCCGGCTTGTGGCTTGGCCATCTCTGATACCGTGCACAAGTTCCGGCTCGATTTCATCGGGATTTGCGATCCCCAAAGCAAGCCAGATCCAGTCGATGCAAGGAGACACCACAACCATAGGATGATATGGAGCTGTCATAGCAAATCAGCCCTGTACCTGCTTTGCAGGCTGTTTAGGCCTTTATTTTCACAAAGAGTTCTGCGGTCTTGCCAACAATGGGAAGACTGGGCTTTCAAGACCCTCCTCACAGAATTGGGCTTCTTGGTCTTGCTGGAATCTGCTGTTCAACATGCATTCCTTGAAATGGTGCCTGGGTCCGGGCAAACTTCCTGTCATGGTTGCACGCATTCCTTTTAAGATCCAGTGTCGTAAGAACGAGGACGCCACTTCTTGATTAGGCAGTTTCCAGTTGTGGCACCATCCCCGTCAGCAGAAGCCACAATTAGGCTTTACAAACACACACACACACACACCCTTTTCTCAAATCCTGTCACAGCGCGGAGTGCCAGGTGATGAAGGTTCCTGCGCACCTCTCCATTCCAGAGTCGCGAATACGCCGGAGTCTTAATGGTGCGCAAGAACTGCCTTTTTGCGGTGCTTGTTTCTTGCCGGCTCAACCTATTCACTTGGATGCCCAGACTTCCAAGTAGCATGGCGTGTGCCTGAGGCTTCTTCTGGAGCGAGATCGACGAGGACAACTCGGGCAAGGCGATCGGATCCGCTTTTGGTGATGCTGGTTTAAGGTTCCCTGTTTTACTCTGCGATCCGAAAACACCCGTCCGCAAGCAGAAATCACTGGCCCCTTCATGAGGCTGGAAACAGCAATCGAGAAAGAAGCTAACTCAAACTCCCAGACACAGCATGGACAACTTGCTGAATTAACCTTGAACCGACTTTTGAATTTCCCAGCCGCATAGTTGGCAGCTGTTCCGTGTCCGTAGCTCGTTTATACTAAAGCGCTAACGCCGCACGGCAAGGCGGAAGCAAGTGCATCTCAAGCGACATGTTAATCAAGCTGCTTCATTAATTATCAGGTTGCAAACGATAGCTTAAGTTCAGTCGGAAGGTTGTCTCAGAACAGCAGTGTCGTGATCCAGTTGCCTGAGAGCCAAGGATAGCATTACGCAAGCCATCCAAGCGCAGAGGCACACAAGCACCGCAGACATAGCGGCGCGAGGGATATTGGATAATGCCCAGGGAGGTCCAAAGCTTACCAGCCCCAAGCATCGCAGTGTCAGAGTCCGCGGCCGGAACAAAGGCGTCAGCACGGATAATTGTTGTAATTGTTTTTGAGTGCGTTTTGATCGCATGACAGATGTGAAGTTTTTCCGTTGACATTCATCAACCTGGCATGAAGGAGTGGATTCATTCATGGATTCATTCATTCATTCATTCATACATACATACATACATGTTGCATTCTGGCACAGATTTCTATTGTTTGGAACGAAGGCAACGCCCCACTTGGTTCAACTTCCAACTTGGAGCGATATTCAGGCTGACAGAGAGACGTGGCAGGCAGGCTTCGACGAATTCCTGCACTTTTGGCGCAGCCGGCTCGAATTAGAAGCTGAAAGGATGCCTTGGGCGCCAGGACGCAAGGATTAAGGATTGGATGATTGGCAATTTTCTGGGCATTGAATGGCCAAAAAACGTCCGATGAGTCGAAGCCCTTGAATGACAGGCTTCGGCAGTTTGGCACGCCGGGGTGCCAGTGCGGCGGTCGTGCAAACGAACGATGCCGGGGAGTGGGGTTGCAAGCGCGATTGCCCAAGTAGCTTGCAAAGTGCTGATTAGGCTAGTCCAGCCTGTGAGAGTGTTTTGTTCCGAAGCTGAAACGGTCCGTGATTTTCTTCGCATCAGGTGCATGAGCAAAGCACGAGGGATTTGGCAAGGCGCCTCCGTTCGATCTGACTGGCTTGCATTAAATACATGTTGACGACCCTGTCATCTCATGCTTGCAAAAGCGCAGTGCAACGGGAGCCTTGTTCACATCACACTGGGTCTTTCGCAGACATAGGATTGAAATTCCTTCGCAATGACCGACGATTTAAGCCTGAATTGATGAGCTTCCATGCTCACAGCGATTCAAGCGCCCACTACCAGTATCATGCGAACTTGCAGGAAGGCACGCATAGTCAATCCTGATTGGCAATATGTCGTGAATGAGATGCTCAGCATTGCATGGATGTTGAAGCCACTTTGGCAAGTGTTGGAATTGGACGCTACCTTCCTTAAATCTTGACTGGCAGGTGCATCGAGCCATCAACCGATGCAGACCAATTGACTTCTGGTATCCCCGCCTCCAGACTGCTTTTGGGAGGCGCACCGCCCACAATCAGAGGGGCCCTAAGACACTCAAGCTGAGGTCTGCAGGGGAGAAGCAGCTTATGTCGCTGCTCGGACCTGGCGTGGTGTCGCATTGTGTTCTGGGAACAGCAATCAGTTCCCTTTTTTGTTTGTTAACAAACAAATGCCACGTGAGCAAGTCATGTTCTTGCAACATTTTGGCGGATAGAATGTCTCTCTTGCGCACCTTGTTCAAATCATAAATGAAACGCACAAAATCCTTTGCCACAAACCGAAAAGCGGCATGCTGTTTTTGTTTGTGAAAATGCTGTGTCAAGACAGCGCGGGCCAAAGCAAGTTAAGTGGATTCCCTTAAAACCAAAATGAAAAACAAGGGCCTGCAAAGCCATGTTTTTTTTAAGGGTGTCCACCCCAACACTCACCAATGAAACGCAGGTGAGATTCAGCAGCCTCCCAGGATCGAGGACTACTACAAATCCACACGTAGAATGGGTGCCAGGCCGGAATGTAGGTGAGACAAATAACATCCAAATTGAAAGATCATCTGCAGTTGCTTGGGCCTGCTCGCAGCTGGCAATCAAGATGGCAGGAATGTCAAAGTCAGTTTTTTGTCTGGGCTTTAAAAGATGGCGATTTGACGTTGAAGTGTTTTTGAGTTTTGTTCCCCCGTTTGGCCATGCACTGCGCCTGGACAGGTACTTGGATCCTCCCCATGGCAGCCAGGACGTTGAAAGCACTGTGGAGGAGTTCCTTACGACCTTGCCATGCTGACGTTGGTGTTTCTTGCCAAGGGCCTTGTCTTTCACCTCATCCCAATGGTTTGGGCATGATCTGGAGAGTTTCACTGGACGTGCGTGCCGGCAGTAGGCTCATCAAAAGATGAGAGTTGTGGATTTCGTTATTCCACCGAACAAAGAATAAATACAAACACAACAGACACCACAAAGCCTGCAAAGGTTGCCGGAAATGTCAACTGACGCAGTCCGACAATTCACCGTAACCGTTCTAAGTTGAAGGTTAAAAAGAGGTGAAACGGAACATCACACTTCAAAGCAAGGAAGAACATATCCCCTTCAGTTCCCCCTTATTTTCCCTTTATTTGTATTTCATGTTCCCTTATTTTCCTCATCTTTTCTTGATCGTGTGTTTCATGTTCCTTTCATTCCCTTCATCCATTTTCTTCATGTTTCTTCCTTCCTATTCCAATACAGCGAGAACATATCATTTGCTCTTTTTTTCCCCATTTCATTTTCAAAGGAAGTTTAGAAGGAAACTTCCGAGTTACGGAAACTAATTGAAAGCTAGATGGTGTAGGGAAGGAAGAAGAAAGAATGAAAGGCGCGCGACATGCGTGTGCGTGTGGCGGTGGAATAGAATTTGCGAAAAGGAGCAATCCTCTGCGGGTTTGGTGGTGTGGAGCTGGCTGAAAGCTACCTTAGTCGCGGCGTCTGACGGACGAGGGCTCGGGACGGTCTTGGGACGGGGGCGGCGCCGGGACCATTGGCACGGCAACGCAGAGAATTCGCAAGGTTTGAATTGCGTGGCAGGCACAGCATTTTGTTAGGTCGGGTGCAGATTTCGTGGCAGGCGCAGCACTTTCGCAAGGTCAAATAATTGCGTGGCAGGCATAACACTTTCGAAAGCTCAGGTGCAGATTTCGTGGTAGGCGCAACACTGTCGAAAGCTCAGGTCTAGATTTCATGGCAGGCGCAGCACTTTTACAAGGTCATGTACATTTTTCGTGATAGGCGCAGCACTTTCGCAAGGTTAAGTGCTAAATTCGTGGTAGATGTATCATTTTCGTAAGATTAAGTATAGAATTCGTGGTAGGGGCAGCATTTTCGTGAGGTCAAGTGCAAAATTCGTGGTAGGCGCATTACTTTCACAAGGCCAAGTACAGATTTCGTGGCAGGCGTAGCACTTTTGCACGATTAATTTTCACAGCCGGGGCTCGAAAATTGCAACTTTTAAGTACGAAAGTAGTGCGCGAAATTAATGTTCGCAGCTGGGGCTTGAAAATCGCAATTTTTAAGTGCGAAAGTAGTGTACGAAATCTATTTTCGTAGTTGGGGCTTGAAAATTGTAATTTTTAAGTGCAAAAGTAATGCACGAAGTCTATTTTCGTAGCCGGACTTGAAAATCGCAATTTTTAAGTAAGAAAATAGTATACGAAGTCCATTTTTAAAGTTGGCAATCACATACTCATAGAGGAATGAAATGCTTGCCAACTTAGTGAAAACATGGGGTTGGTCCTTCCAGGGGTAGGCTCGCGCAAATCACCAGACGCAGGCCGCCATCGCGGGCGCGCTGCTGGCCTACCGGACGGGCCCGGACCAGGACGTTCACAACCAACCAGATCACCTCGGCGCTGGTGGCGTGCCGCTCAGCCGCCGACCAGGACACGGCGACGGCCTCGAGCATCGCAGCCGCCCTGCTCAGCTACTACACCATCGCGCAGGTGGACGGCCTCCTAGCAGATCCTGGGCCCCACAGACATTTCCCTGCCGGGCCTGCACAACCAGACGGCAGGAACGGTGGACGTCTACGGCCTCCAGATCCTGGACGCATCTCTGGACAACACGAGGACACGACGGCCTTGGTCCTGGTGGGATTCTTCCAGCTGGAGGGCTACGCCATGAAACATCGTGCGCACCTACACCCTGACGCCGGGGAGACGCTACTCCTTCGGCTACCGGTACCGGCCTCCAACTTGGTGATGTACAGCAACGCTGCCGACAACGACTACGTGGGCGTCACCGGCACCTTCCTCGGCACGGTCGCGCAGGGTGTCTGGAGCACGGCGCCTGGACTTCTCGGTGCCGCCGGGCGGAGTTGCGAAGCTGCAAGCTGCACTTCGGCGCCTTCGGAGCGATAGGCCAAGGGGCGGCGCGGGTGATTGGTGGAAACAAACACATCTGTGGCGCCTGATTGTCCGCTCTCTGTCCGTTTGTGGTATCAGAAATCTGCTTGGAATAATCATTGCGCTATGTGTAAATACATTTGCTTGCTGGCAAGGTGCCTTGGCAAAACGATATATGGTTTTGCTGCTGGACTTTTGCCCGCTCACGTGCATCTCTGCATCTATATCGATTTGCCAAGCAGAAAGGGTTGCGTCTGGTGTATGTGCCTGATTCGATGATAAGGTAGCTATAGCCTTGCGACACCCTTTCTTTCGGGCCTTTGAAAGCCATACTGCGTGACAAATGACGATTGTGCAAGTTACAAATGCCAAGCGGCCGGATTGACACACCGTGTTGGCTGCGAGTTGCGGCCACGCAGGAAATGTTGGAGCTTGGGTGGGCCAAGGCGTTTCTCCATGATGGCTTGATGATACAGCAGGAATCATGCCGGAAGGGCTGATGCTTGCGACGCGTGCGTCTTGCAGAGGCCAAGGCCATGTTGGGTCTTGAAGCTCCATGTCTTGTTTTAGGCCAGGAGGAACTGCAAAGCCTTCTTAGAAACTTGAGCAGGCGGCCACGTCTCTTTTCACGGCGTTCTTCTCCTTCTTCGCTGTCGCGCGCCTCTTCCTGCTGCTTCTTGAGGGGCGCCAACTCCCCCCACAAGAAAGCTTGGTAGGTGCACAAAGCACGCAAAGAACAAGATGAGCAAGCAGGGCAGACGGCGGCGCAGGCGGGGCTTGTTTGTTTATTGATTGTTGGTTTGTGTTTTGTTTGTTTGTTTGTTTGATTGTTTTGTTTGTTTCTTTGTTTCTTTGTTTCTGTGTTTCTTTGTTTCTTTGTTTCTTTGTTTCTTTGTTTCTTTTTGTTTGTTTTTTCTCTGTTTCTTTGTTTTTTCTCTGTTTCTTTGTTTGTTTCTATGTTTCTTTGTTTCTATGTTTCTTTGTTTCTTTGTTTCTTTGCTTCTTTGTTTTTGTTTCTTTATTTCTTTGTTTCTTTGCTTCTTTGTGTGTTTGTTTGTTTGTTTGGTGTGTGTGTTTTGTGTGTTTTGTTTGTTTGTGTGTTTGTGTGTTTGTTTGTTTGTTTGTTTGTTTGTGTGTTTGTTTGTTTGGGTTTGCTTTGGCTTGGTTGGTTTGTTTGTTTGTTTGTTTGTGTTTGTGTTTGGGCGGGTGCGTCCGTGTTTGTTTGTGTGTGGGCGCACAACCAAGTGTAAATGCCAATCAGAATAGGTTGAGGCCATGTGTGTTTTGCGCACGCTAATGGGCAATGCTTCCAACTTGCGGGCGATTGTAAGCAAGGTGCAGGCTTCGCCGTCAGCGGCGCAGGCTTGGGGTTGCGTTAGGTTTCGTAAAGGGCAAGGCCCATGTTCCACGGCCTCATTGTCAGCTATTCAGCTGCAGCCAATGACAGGAGTCCGTCATCCCTTGGAAGGTAAGGAGAGCTGCGGTGCGTTGATGGAACTCTCTACGCGCTGCCTGGTTTTGGGAATCCACGAACCACTCGTGAGCCAGCAAGAGCTGGAAGGCGGATTTTGTTTCTTTCTAAAGAGCAGATCATGGCATGACGGCTGTTTGGAAAGATGGGTAATACCACGCCAATATGTATTTGAACGCAGCAGGCAACGACCCGCAAATATCAACTAAAACCACGTGTAATAAAAAAGGATGGAGCCGATCGAACACGACAGGGCGCCGGAGACGCAGGAGGATGCCGCGCCGGAGACACATCACGCTGCGCCGGACGCTGCTGGCAGCAAGAACAAACCGAAGCAGGACGTGCCCACCGAGCCGGCTGCCCCGAAGCGCAAGCCAAAGCCCTCGGTTGAGACACCACTAGCGGAGGCACCAGCAGAGGTGCGGGCAGAGACCAGAGAGCAGCAGCACGCCCTTCGCACGTTGGAAAGGAAGTCGGCCTATGACCAATTGATAACCGGCGCGAGCGTACTGGTATAAAAGCAAGATGATGTTCATCGAGCCCCATAACGAGCCATAGATATCGCAAAGTTACCTCGTTCGTCACGAGCCATTCTTACCTGGACAACTTCGTGTAATCCAGCCAGTTATACGCTGCATCACGCGCTATATTATGCACAACATCGTACGAATCGTACACTATCCTGCATCATCACAGCTTCGTACGCAACAACAAGGCATAGTATCACGGTAGAAGTTGATAAGAGAGATTGTTTTTGTGTTTGAGTAAAAAAAATGTTAATTTCTAATTTTAATAGTTTTGGAATATATATTATGATTCTTAGTATTTATTAGGGATATAATATGAAATTGTTTTTATAATTAATATAAAAAATATATATATATAAAAACATTTTTATATAAATAAATATTAAAAATTTTACATTTTTAAAAATTATTTGTTTTAAGGAAAATTAAAGGAAATTTATTTGTTATTTTGATATTTTTTTGAATTATGTTTTCTTTTATTTATTTTAAATTTAATATATAAATGGATTTTTTTAAAATTCTAGGTAGAAATATATATTAGTTATATATTAAATTATAATATTTATTTTTTTTAATAAAACAAAATTATTTTTTAAATAATAAATATTAATTTCTTAATATTATAATTTAAATGATTTATTTTCTTTATGTAGTAATGTATATATTTTTGTTGGTTTAGTTTAAGATAATGAGTGTTATAAAATATATATTGTTTTGTTAATTTATTTTGAGTATTATGTAATACGATTCGATGAATAATTAGAAAAAAAATATATTATTTTGTTGAATATAAAAATCTCTTTTGTTTTGGGGGTATGGGAATATTTTTATTTCACCCAAAGCATTCCGAAACTCATAACAATTTTACCATATATGATATCATTCCTTAGAGGGTGTGAAGAACGATGACTCTAGGAGGATGTAATCGATATCCGCGTCGGGCGTAGGGTTAGCTTTTTCTCGATCCTTAGGCTCCGACTTATGAGAGTGATTGAAACATTATTTCTGCCTATTGTTTTTTCTTTAACATCTCCTTGGTATTGAGCCTGAACTTGGGCAATACACCCAATTGTTTGAACCAGGATTTCCTGTCCTTGCCTCTATGCGGAAGAATTCTCTTCTGATTATTTATCCTTTTCTTTTTCCTTGGGGTCGGCACAAACTCCTTGAGCCCTCATAGTTCTCATTCTCATTATCATTTGTGTATGTACATCATCTCCATAAGCTTATATAGGACGATCGACAAGACGCCTACCAGGGTCATCTAGCACCTTGAGGGACTCGTCATCCTCCATTTCGCCTTCCGGCAACTTCTCCTTGACCGTCTACACGTGGGAGATTGGGCTTGCGATGATTAGCACCTATCTCTGCGTCTGCCGGGATGTTGTCCGTCTTTTCCTCCTGGTTGTCCTCCTCCTTCTGGTCGTCGTCGTCTTTGTGCCCAGGTCTGCCAACATACAAAGTCCCGGCACATCATGAATATTCTAGCTCTGGTCATCCAGTCTGCACCTGAGGTTTTACGCTCGAACCGTCAAATGCCGAGTCCGCCAGCTGCCACTTCCGAGGCCGACGATCTATCCGTCAACAATTGCCTGATACATTCCCGCACCTCTTCTATCTTCGTCACCAAGGCACTCTCTCCCATGACAATGCCCTCCAAGCATTCCGTCAGCTCAGATTCCGCGGTACCCATCGTAGAGAAGCTTTTCCTCAGAATCCTCCACACTATCAACCGTCCATTCCACAGCACTGTCACCGAACATTGGGCCAGATTCCTGACTGCTTCCCGTATGGTCCCTGTATGGTCAAAAGCTTCCAAATTGCATTATCGAGGCTTCCCGTATGATTCCTAGCTTCCAAATTGCATTGTCGAGGCTTCCCGCATGGTTCCTGTATTGTATGGTCAAGAAGCTGTGAAATTCCTGACTGTTTCCCAGATGGTCCGTGTGTGGTCAAAAGCTTGCAAATTGCATTCCTGTGGTCAAAAGCTTCCAAATTGCATTGTTTCCCGTATCCCGTATGGCACTCCCGACGCTTCCCGATTCCCGTATGTATGGTGAAAAGCTTCCCAATTAAGCATTTCCAAGGCTTCCCGCATGGTTCTCGCATTTCCGAGATGCATGGGGTATCTCAAGGCCAATGGACTTGTCAGCTTTGTCAGCTTGCCTGTCGGCTTGCCTCGTGTCGGCTGATTCGCTTGCCGCGCGCTTGCGGAGTCTCGGACCGTGCTGCCAGTCGCTGTGGGGCGCTGCTGCGCTGCTTGCCCCCTTCCTCTGCGGCTGACGTAGCCGCGTCAACAGCCGCCGTGCTGCAGCGCACAGCTCTGGCCACCCTTTTTTTTTAAAAAAAAATGAAGATGTGACTGTGAAGCGATGCACTCCAGAACACGATCGCAAGCTATCACAGAAAAAACGACCGAAGCTAACAGAACGCGAGCGGAAGCTGACAGAAAACGACCAAAGCTGACAGAACGCGACCGGAAGCTTGCTATATGTGCTATATGTGCTATATGGGTCTTACACAAAAAACGACCAAAGCTACCGGAAGCTGACAGAACACGACCAAAGCTGACGCGACCGGAAGCTGACAGAACACGACCAAAGCTGACAGAACACGAGCGGAAGCTGAGCGGAAACGCTGTGAAAGGCTGCAAAAAAACGGCTGCCGCAGGGATGCGAGCAGCCGCAAGCAGCGCAAGCAGCGCCCCGCAGCGGCCCGCGGCGTCCCGCAGCGACCGGCAGCCGGGCCCCGCGAGCAACCGGCTGCAACCTGCTGCGGCGCATTGTGGGCCGGCTCCAAAAAAGAGGTGCGGCGCTGCGCAGAGCTGCAGCGGCGCTGCTGCGGTGCTGCTGCGGCGGAGCCTCCAGATTGCATCGTGGAGCATCCCTCCAAAATCGCCTACGTCGTAGAGCGCCCCTCCAGGATGAGCTCTTAGGACCTGGGCTGCGCTATTAAAGCAAACCACAGCCATGGGGAAGATCAAGCTTTTTCCAACCCCTTCCTATGAAAGCAAGCAGCCTAGAGACGCTGTGGTGCCGAAAGTGCCCTGCACTGGCATTTTAGGTCCATCAAAAAGTGGAAAGATCGTAGCGCTAATGAGCCTCATCCTCGAGCAGTATAGGGGCGTCTTCGAGCGCATCTACATCTTCAGCCCCAGCGTGTACATAGACGATAGTTGGCTCCCAGTGAAGAAATACATCGAGGAGGACTTGGGCGTCAACACGGAGCGCGAGCAGGCCTACTGGACGAGTGGGACGAGGCCGCGCTGCGCCGGATCATCCAGCAGCAGCGCAAGATCACCAAGGCGAGCAAAAAGCTGGAGATGAAGCGACTCTACCAGATTTCGCGGACACGCCGCAGCTGCACAAGCCCCACAGAGCGCTGGACACGCTTTTTATCCGCGGCCGGCATCTCCAGATCAGCACCTGGGTCAGCTCCCAGAAGCTGCGGCTCATCAGCGCGTCCGTTCGCGTCAACATGCTATTTCTCTGCTGCTGGCGCCTCCGCAATCAGCACGAGCTAATTCTCGAGGAGCTTTCTATGCTGAGCAAGGACCAACTACTGCGCATCTACAAGTAGGCCACCAGAGAGCCCTATAGCTTCCTCTACGTCTACTACCTGAAACCCAAGACGAGATGTTCCACATTCGCTTCGAGCATTGTTTCGCGTTAGAGAAAGGCGCCGATGGGCGCAGCGCTGGCCTTCCTGGGAGAGAAGCTGTTCGCCAGCTCGACGACATGTGAGAACATCTTGCGCTGCACTTCGGTCCGCCCGGGCTCCGTCGTAGCGTCGGCGCCCCCCTGGCAGCGAAGGACGACGCCCGAGTCGCAGTGGTCCGCGCTGACGGAGCGGCGGCGGGGGTTGCTAGGCAAAGAGAGGATGACGACGATCTACATCGACTCGCGGAAGAGGGTGGCCGGCACCGACAGCGACTTCGAGGTCGACCTGGGCGAGTCGCTGCACCTGCAGAGCGACGCCAGGCTCGCCGTGTACAAGATCCGTCTGGCGGACAGCTTCCTGTCGACCGACCGCGGCCGCTATCTCTTTTGGGTCGACGCCGCGCTCGGCACGCTCAATTGGGCGCTGCTGCCGGAGGGCGCCCGCCGGGGCGAGGCTGGCCGCCTGGATTTCCAGCAACTTCGCGACGGCGGCAATAGGCTGATCCTGAACGACCTAGAGCTGCGGGAGCAGTTTCCCAACGTCGCGGAATACCCCACTTCGCCGCCTGCCACTCCCAGCAAACCGTTCAGCGTCGACCACATGCTTGGCCGGTGAAAATGCTCGCTTTTAGCGAAGTCTATCTGCGCTGCGCCCAGCTGGCGACCGCCAGCCGCGTGCTGGGAGACCTCGGCGACGACATCCTGGCGAAGATCACGCTCAAGTCCGGCGTGGGTACGGGTTCTGACGATGGCCACTTCATGGCCATACGCGGTCCCATCACGCTCCGGCACCTGCGGCTCAGGCTGACGGACCTCGACGGGCAGCTCGTCCGACTGCGGGGCTCTTCCTTGTCGTTCGTCTTGTTCCTCGACCACGTATAAGGAAAACCCCCGATGGAGCCGGAGCAAGTCGACCCGCAGCCCGCGCCCGAGCCGGTCCCAGCGTCGGTCCCGGCCCCCAATGCCAAGGCGGCGCCCGGACCAACCGCCGCGCCACGGCCGGTCGCCCATCCGCCTGAGCAGCCACCGCCGCCGCAGCTCATGCGCGAGCAGCAGCGCGCTGCGCATGCTGGAGCGGCAGTCCGCCTACGATCGCCTAACGTCCGCCGCAAGCGTGTTGGTATAAAGAGACAAGATGATGTCCATTAAGCCGCGCAACGAGCCGCAGATGCTGCGGTGGTTCCACAGGACGTACCCCAGCTACGACCTGCAGCCGCTGCTGCTGAAGCGGAGAGCTTGAGGACGCGCGAGCGTTCAACAACTGGCTCGCGGACCCCAGGCTGGCGCAGGAGGGGCAGCGGCACCTCGACGACGTAGGCCGCCTGACCGAGGCCGTGCACCGCCAAGCGCCGCAGCTGCGGTCCAACAGGCGGCGGAGGAGATCGCCGCGCAGTAGCCGATAAAGAGATGAAGACGCTGCGGGCCAGCGGCCGCGCTTCGAGCAGGTGGTGGGCTATATCGAGCGAGGAGGGCCGCTCCCGCTGGACCTGCCGGACCGCAACGCGAGCTTGTACATCACGAGCCATTTCTACCTGGACGACTTCGCCCAGTCCAACCCGCAGCCGCTGCAGCACACGCCGCTGCAGGCGATACCCGAAGAAGCCTTCCGCACGCCCGAGGCTACCCGGATGGGCTACGGGGGAACCCGCTTCGTCAAGGACGACCTGGCAGGAGACCCTGAGGCCGGCGCCCTGGCAAGCAACGGCCAGGGCCCGCCCTCCATCACGGACCGTCTGCGCAGCACGGCCGACGGGCAGGCACAATCCATATGTTTGTTTTTGTCGTTACCAATAATGAATTGTCAGCGCTGCCCCTGGTGCAACACAAACTTAAGCAGTCTGAAGATGCTTTGTTTTTGCAGGAATAAGGCAAACTAAAGGATGGCCATCTCAAGGTTTCTTGACCTGTCAAGAACTACTTGACGCAACCCCGCATGAATGTCAACGCCTTTAAGACCCTCTCTCATTGTTGATGCATTTTCCGCACACACTGTCAATTGTCCTATCTCGCGTCTCAAGCTGCATTTGTGGCATGCATTGAGCGGTTCAAAATGTCATCCCAAGCCTCGGCCGCTCTCAGGATCAATGCTTCGTATGCGTTGGGTCCTTTCTTGACTCCCTTACGCAGAACCTTGTTGATCATCTTCTTGACATCCGAGAAGTCAAAGGTCTTCATCACTTTGTACCTACTGGGCTGTGTCGTTGCAGGCATTGCCCAGCTCCTTCATCCTGTTCTCCATCTCCCTATGAGTGAAAGGGTTGGTGGGGGTATCAATTGCCAGCACACGTTGCACCAGCTCCACGCTGGGAATGGGAGTGTCTGTACGTTCAAACTCGCGGAAATTGTCCTTGGGAACGACCCAATACAAGATGATCTTGTGGACGCCACTTTCCCGCGCTGCCAGTTCCAACAATTTGACATCAAGTGGGTGTTGTGTGGCAGTGGTGATCTGGAAACAAATCAGCTCGCCGTCCTTCACGGGAACGCAAAAACAAACATGGCATGTAACGTCGTGCGCATGCAAGAAACGACCAAAACATGATTCGACTCCATACGTCTCCTTGAGAGCAGTGCAGGAGTCGATGGATGGCATGAATGGATCTTTGGGTTCCAGGTATTTGTTTGGCCATTTTCTGGCCGCTCTGACAAGATCCGTCAGGTTGCCATCCACCTGCCGAAGATCCAGCTTGGAAAACACCACCTCGAACATTGGCACTTGAACATCGACCGGCCTCGCATAAAGCATCCGCCCGCGGCAAAGCTCTCGGTGAGCAAACTTCTCCCAAACCTTTCCGAAGCCGCTTCTGTCAATATCCTTGAAAGCTGCCATATACCTATGCACCTTCTCCTCAAACGTCTCGATGAGGAGGTCTGCAGCTTCCTCACTGACACATTCAACCGCAAAAGTGGTGAAGTTCTTCTCCGGCACGATTTGGAAGAGTAAATGCGCCGGCTTTAACTCCCCACCCTGGTCGATGATGCCCAATCTCCAGATTCTCTCGAGCAATTCTGTTTTGCCTAAAGCATCGGCACGAGCCCGCTCTATCTGGTAGGGCCTGTCGGACTTCAAACGCCGAACAATACCCCCGAACTTGTAGTAACGCTCTTCCACATCTTTGTTGCTGAAGTCGGGGCGGAGGTACTTGAGCACGCACCGCGCTTCTTGCAAGGTCCATGTTGCCATGTACAAAAATAATGGGTCGTCTTTCTTCCACTCTCCAAAGTGCATTGGATCAGGCGAGGGCGCCACGATGGTCCTGGCCCTGGCAGGGTAGACAGACCTCCTGTCTTCCGCCAAGTTTGGATCGATAACGTAATAATTATCGGGGCTCTTCAGCTCAAAGCACTTCCCGGGCGCCCAATCTGTCAGATCCATGGTCCGCACCTCGTAGGAGCCGTCGCCGCCCGGCATGAAGAGGTAGACAGTTGTCCACTTTCTGGCTTCGAAGACCAGTGTCTTCTGCTCCTTCATCAGGAGGCGCAGGAGGTAGGCGATGGAAAACGACTTGCCGATGCGCGGGGACCCGATCTCCGCAACACGCCTATGACCACGCACTGCCTCCTCCCACACCAGGCGGGTCTGGTTCCGCACAAAAAGAAACGGTTTGTCCTCATCAGCGTTCAAAAACTGCCGAGCTCTTCCGCCAGTTTCACGTCAATGTTGGGATAACAACTATTGTCACGCAAACTCAGCGCCTGAGACGCCAGCAGCTCGTTGGCAAACATTGTCGCATTGCCGTCCGCGACTCAGCCGAAGCCCGCCTGTTCCCAAAGCAACAACCCGGTAAAAAAAAGGATGAACACTGCTTTGCAAAGCTGGTGCGCAGTGCCTGTCAGCTTGGAGACCGAATGAACATGGGAAAAAAGATCCAACTTTGCAATTGAATTGTGTCCCGCCTGCGTGTCCTTCTTGGCCTCCTGGACTTTCTTCTCGGCCTCCTGGACCTCCTTCTTGGCCTCCTGGACCTCCTTCTTGGCCTCCTGGACTTTCTTCTCGGCCTCTGGACTTTCGGCTCATCCCCTTCCCGTTTTGCATTTCGTAAGTCTTCCAGCGCCATCTCCAGCGGCACTGATGCCATCTCCAAGCGGCGCTGCTCTCCGTCCAAGCGGTCTAAAGCCAGCACTCAAGAAAACACCCGACGCCTCGTCTGGCTGCATCGCCCTTCGCGCCACGAGGTGGCCCGCGCAAGGACGGCCAGGCTGCATGAATGACACATGCGCTCCGTAAACGAGCAGCACTGCCACGAATTGCGTACCACCGACGTCTGGTTCTCATGGCCCTGCAGCCAGCAACAATCCACAAGAAACCCATCCTTGCATCACCGTACTTTTGACCGGGAAAACACTGGGCCGCCCGGCGCGGAAAAGTCCACGCCGCCGACAAATAGTCTTGAGGAGGTCGATGTCGGGGCAATACCTGCAAACGGATCAGGAAGCCACTGAAAACAAGGGTCGAAACGGTGGGTCACTTTTGGACGTCTCCCTTTGCGTGCCAAAAAAGTTGCAATTGCTGCCAAACGACCTCGTGACTTGTACCTTGCTGAACGTGGCTCTGCTTGAGTTGAACTTGGATGTTTGTTTTTTGTTTTTGCGAATGTCAACGCGTTGTCACTTTGAGCCGCGCACGCCTCGATCAACAAAACCTGCCATGATGAAAATTGAAGCAACATGCACACTGCGCACACCCAAATTAAAAGCGTCATCAAGTCCACAGGGTTGGTTGTTCGCTTTGTGAATGTTTGGGCAAACAGGTGGACATGCTGAAATATATCGTTTCCCCCCCCCCAAAAAAAAAGAGAGGCCCTTTTACGTGCAGCCAAAGGAGCTACATTGTCGTCGCTTACTAAAACCAGGTCATCAACACTTGCTACGAAGATCACACCGAAAAATGAAACCAAATCAGCGTAAAGCGCATTTCAGTACGCACAAATGTGGCATTCACATAATCAGGTGCTAAAAGCCAGGACATCGCGGCAAAAAAGAACGCAGCGGGGACAAGGCTACGCGACGTTCCAACAAACACGCCAGCGCCACACGCTTCCCAGAGCCAAGCATCCTCCAACGCTTGCGTGAACCAAGCACCTCACAAAACCATGAAGTCCGTTGAGGTCGGAAAGCCGCTCAGGCACGCTGATCATCATAGATTCATCCGCAACTGGCGTCACGCGCAAGCCGCTACATTTAAGCAGCGCTAAGAGCTTAATTTTATCAGCATCACAAAGGGCGTTCCGGGTGAAGCTCCTCACCGTGACCTCCAGGGTCAACCCACACTGGCTGCTCATCAGCCACAAGGACCTGGCCTGTACCCCGATCGCGTCGCCGTTGCGGGGTTGCCTCGCCACTCCGCCCCACCATCAGCTTTGCGGCGGAAGTAGTAAGGAAAGGGGGCCTATAGGGACCAATTAATTTGCGATTTTTGGCCAAAAAACCCGCCAAAACGGCTTTTTTTCGCCCAAAAAACCTTTGTCACCACTGATGTCACCGCTTCGTCACCGCTCCGTTTTTGGTGCAAAAAGCGCTCAAAACGGCCAACTCCGAAAAGTTCGTTTTTTCGTGTCAGACGTCAAAACTGGTGCCTGGGCCACCAAATTCGCTCGTTTTCGGTCGAAATCGGGCTCCAGACGTTAAAACGTCCAAAAACGAATGTCACCACTGATGTCACCGTTTGTCACCGCTCTCTTTTGGGTCGAAAAAGTGCGCAAAAGCGGCCAAGTTCCCGAGTTCCGGAGGACTTCGTTCTTCGCAGGGTTTTCCGTGGCACGACAGCCTGCCGAGGACCTTCCTTGTAACGCGACAGCCTGCCGAGGTTCTCCCCCGTAACACGTCAGCCTGCTGAACTTGTCACCGCCTTTGTCACCGGTGTCTAACACGTCAGCCTGCCGAGGCACCAAGGTGGAATCAAACCCCGGCAACTGCGAAGACCAACGCCTATACCATCTCGCCATCGGCTTTTGTCGCCAGAAACCTCCCAAAACGGCCTTTTTTCGCCCAAAAACGCTTGTCACCACTGATGTCACCGCTTCGTCACCGCTCCGGTTTTTGGTGCAAAAAGCGCTCGAAACGGTCGAGTCCGAAGAGTTCGTTTTTCCGTGTCAGACTGCAAGTGGGATGCCTAAGCCTCCAAATTCGCTCGTTTTCGGTCGAAAGCAGCTCCAGACGGTCACTTTGCTCATGTGCCTGAGGCCTGGGAGCTCTACAGCAGGGCCGGCTCCATCACAAGGCTGTGCTCGGGCAAGAATGGTTAGCTGCTGGTGCTGCATCAGGGCAATCCTGTGCGTGGCGCAGGAATGGCTGGAGCAATCCTGCGCGTGCCGCAGGACTGAGGGGGCAATCCTGTGCGTGCCGCAGGATTGACTGAAACCTCCGCCGGCGCCCCTGCGGCAGTGGCCCGCACCAGGCCCGCACCAGGCCCGCACCAGGCCCGCACCAGGCCCGCGCCAGGCCCGCACCAGGCCCCAGGCCCGCACCAGGCCCCAGGCCCGCACCAGGTCCCAGGCCCGCACCAGGCCCGCACCAGGCCCGCACCAGGCCCGCACCAGACCCGCACCAGCCGCACCTGGGTTTTTTCGGGCTGAAAACCAACTTGGAAGCTTGGAGCAAAGTCGGAAATCCGACTTCGGTATGGAGCGAGGTCGGAATTCCGAGGTCGGAATTCCGACTTCGGTATGGAGCGAGGTCGGATCTGGTAGCTGAACTCTACGCGGGCATCACCCAAAAATTGGTTGGTGCCTGTTTCCAGTTCCAAGGCCAAAAACCCTACAGCGTGCTCTGCAGAGGAGAGTGCTCTTTCCGACTTTGGTGGAAAGAATTTCTGCTTTTAGACCGAAGCCGCGGAGCCGGCCTTGCTCAGACCGAAGCCGCGGAGCCGGCCTCGCTTTTCCAAGCCTTTTGCGCACTTTTCGGCCCCAAAGAGAGCGGTGACGAAGCGGTGACAAGCGGTGACAACGGTGACAAGCTCGGCGGGCTGGAATTCGCCGGTTTTCCGGGCCGAAAGCGGAATCCTGATGCTCAGGACGAAGGGCAGGCCGCTTGCGAAGAGTGCGTCTCGGAGCTCCGAGTGGAAGGCCATGTCATGCCCCCGCCCCCTTGCGCCATAGTAGTTCATGCTGCGACCTGGGAAGATGTAGGGAGGATCGGCATAGATGCAGTGCCGGGGAGCCAGGCGGGGCAGAGCGCGTAGACAGGCCAGCGCGTCCCGGCATCGCACGGTCACATTCGTCGGCGGCCGTTGCAGACGCCGCACGCTGCTCAGCGCCAGTGGCCGCTGCTGCGCGAAGGAGCCCCACTTTCCCGAGAAGCTGTTGCGCTGCAGGACGTATGAGCAGGCAGCCCGACGCCCGGCACGGCCTCTCTGTGAGCCCGGCAGGAGGCGCCTGAAGTAGAAGCGCCTGTCTACCTTGCGCCCCACCAGGCGCAGCAAGGAGCGCAGGAAGACCGGGTCTTGCCAAGCAACAGCGGTGCAGGTTTGCGACGGGCTCGAAGGCGTCGACACCCAGGGCCGGACGCCGGGCGGCAAGGTAGTACTCCAGCTTTCCGGAACCGAAGAAGGGAGAGTGAAGCACAGCGACGGTCCACGTGAGGAGCTAACCACGATTTACTTCCCATGTACTTCAGATGCATACCAGCCTTTAGTTTTATCCCTGAAAACTGCCATACAGCAGGGCGCTCACGGACTCGCCGCCCGGCTTTTCTGCGTCGAATTTGGGAAGTAAAGGCAAAGGAATGGCGGCCCCAGCAAGTCCGGTAAAACCGTGGCGCTGATCAGCATGATTCTCGAGCAATATCGCGGAGTCTTTGAGAAAATCTATATATTCAGTCCCAGCGTGAACATAGACGACAGCTGGATCCCCGTCAAGAAGTACACAGAGGAGGACCTGGGGGTGAACACGGAGCGCGAGCAGGCCTACTACGACGAGTGGGACGAGGCAGTAGCCCGCAGCTCCACAAGCCTCATGGCGCCCTGGATACGCTCTTCATTCGTGGCAGGCACATGCAAATCACCCAGAAGCTGACAGCGCAGCCGTGCGGGTGAACATGCAATTTCTCTGCTGCTGGAGCTGGACGCCGTCATCGAAGAGCTGAGCGCCCTGCTGCCAAAGGACTAGCTGCACAGGATCTACGAGCAGGCGACCAGGGAGCCCTTTAGCTTCCTTTTCGTCTACTACCTTAAACCGAAGAATCAAATGTTCTACAAGCGCTTCGAAGAGCGTTTCGCACTGAAGCTGTTCGCCAGCTCCACGAGGTGTGAGAACATCTCCTGCTGCACCTCCGTTGCAGCCGTCCACTCGGCTGTCGTCCGCAGAACGGGCGGCTTCCTTAGAAAAAGGATGACGACTATCTACGTGGACAGCCGCAAGAGGGTAGCCGGCTCGGACAGCGACTTCGAGGTCGACCTGGGAGAGTCCCTGCACCTGCAGAGCGACGCCCGGCTGGCCGTCTACAAGATCAGAATCGCCGACGGTCTCCTCTCGACGGATCGCGGCCGCTACCTCTACTGGGTCGACGCCGCGCTTGGGACTCTGAACTGGGCTCTCCTACCGGAAGGCGCCTACACGGGCTCCCGGCTGGCCGCCTCAGCTCCAACTTCGCTACTGCCACCTATAGCGAGACCACGAACAGCCTCAGCGTAGCCTACGACGGCAACCGGCTCATTCTGAACGATTTGGAGCTGCAGCAGCAGTTCCCAGACGCTGTGGACTACCCCACCTTGCCGGCCGCCTCTCCGAGCAAGCCCTTCAGTATGGACCACATGCTCGGCCCGAGCTTCGTCTCTGGCGGGCAGCAGGTCTTTGAATTCGTGAGAATGATGGCATACAACGAGGTCTACCTGCGCTGCGCCCAGCTGGCCAACGCCAGCCGCGTGTTGGGCAATCTGGGGGACGACATCCTGTCCAAGATCACGCTGAAGAGCGGCGTGGGCACCATCGTTGAGACCGGCTCCGATGATGGGCACTTCTGGAAGCATCAACTACGCTAGA